GGTGTTGGTTTTTATTCGCGAGATTTCCCGAATCGACTAAACCGAAATGGTGAATTACCATTCGCCTTGAACAAGCTAGTAAAATTAGAGTTGAAAAAAAAAAGTCAAAGTTAATCATGGTTAATCGTAGGTGTTGGTTTTTATTCGCGAGATTTCCCGAATCGACTAAACCGAAACTGTGTCAAAGTTAATCATGGTTAATCGTAGATATTGGTTTTTATTGACGAGATTTCCCGCCAAGATTCCTCGATTGTGCAAACAGCTCAGACTTGTTTGGGTAGCGAGCACGAGGTCGCGAGGAGGCATTAAAGAATCTCATCACGCCGCTAACGCTAAAACCCTATCTCGCCAGAGAGGGTAAAGAGTGCGACGCGTTTCTGTTACATAAGACGGAGTATAAATGTAATTCCAGCTCCCCTTGGGAAATTCAAGACTGCGACGAAGCACGCGTGGAAATTGGAGCAGCCAATGGCGTAGACCTCACCTAACCATCGTGCGCGATGTTCCTTCTCTTCGCCACTCTGACTGATCATACTCTTTGATTCCACCGGTTCCTTCACTTTCCACTAAAATCAGCTTCCCTGTTTGTCACAGTTTGTTACCGTTCGCGTGCATTCGAAGATGGAATATTCCAGGGGTCACCGGTGATCGATGGAAGACTTTTCGTTTGGGTCAACGCTAAGTCCAGCCAGTCGGCCAATTTCATGAATTTAGAAGTACATGTGTTGCGTTTGTTCTTCAACTTCTGTACACTATTTATTTTATCGCGCGCACATCCACGGATGACTTTCCTCGTTCGCGACCATCGATCAGTCGATCAACTTCATGAATTTAGAAGTACAGAAACGCGTGTTGTGTTTCTTCGTCAACTTCTGTATATTCTATATATAGTGTTTTACACGCATGTGGGCGTTGATAGAGGACTTTTCGTTTCACGTGGCTCATTCGCGACTATCGATCAACTTCATAAATTTGTGAAGTATTGCAAATGTGTGTTGCAACCTCTATATTTAGTATTTTACTATGCGAGTTAGTATAGCGATTATATGTGCAATTGAGTATAACTATCTGTAATCTTTTTAAGAGCTAGATTTACTTACTTGACTGACATGTGTACGTTTAGCTACGGTGACATATTTTGTATATATCATTTCTGGTTAACGTTATGATTAAGTTATACAAAAAATATTCCTTATCAAATTTTCAAAATTGTCAATTGCTTTTTGGAACTATTTTGCAGAAGAATTGATTAAATATATCTACAACTTGCAACTGCACTTCACAATGTTATTGGGACACTAATTGTAAGTACATAAAACTAAATGAATATTTCCATGTTACAGATAAACAATATTGCACAAATTAAGAAAATCGTTTAAACTAGCTTCAATTATAGAAAATACTTCTGCTAAGTTCATTCTTCTTACACTTATGCTTTTCATTATACATACGTATTATAGATACCTTAATCAAACTCGTCGATATGACAAATTTCAGATTTCCTTCTTTCATAATTGCTAAGAACGTACTTTAATTAATATCGATTTCTCTGTTCAGACAAGAATATAATTGTTTAAATTACATTTTACACTTCTATAATAATATAATTATATAACATATTTTATACATATATATATATAATTTATATAAATTATATTTACTTTAGCTATCACGATTTACAATATTATAATAATTATAAATTACCATGAAAATTTATACGCATGAAGATTGTTGATTGTTCGATATAATTAATTGAAAATTGAAAAATTTTCTGCC